GAAGAAGCCATTAACTTGGATGCGATGTCTATTATATGATTTTATTCATATACTTCCCGTACATTCCCTAGACAAGAGAAACTGCCGTACATTTGTATGCAGATTCATTGAAGGGTAATAGAAAGGGTCGTAATAAATTGATATATTGCAAGGGCATACCCTCAATGAATTACGACAGGCTTTTACACATAAACTCAGGAAGTATGAAGATATTTGAAAAGTGCTGCGAACCTGATGAAATCTTGCAAATGAATTAATTATATCTACATTTAATGTACTTGACCAGCAAAATATTCAACATACGGTCTAACAAATGTAATTTTAGCAATTATACAGTAGAATCTATATAGGTTCGCAGCACTTTTCACAAACTACAAAGAGTGTTGAAAATAATTATAAATTAAACTTACATTTTTAACTTGGTTATGCCCTTGCAATATTGGAATTTATAGATGACTTCAATACTGCAGGTATATTTGCTAAAATCACGTGACTGCCACATTACGTAACAAATCTAAATAAGAAATATAAACGTCCTCAACATGAAGTTTTCAGCGACATTACATTTGTCCGATAATAGTAAAGGCCTAAAAAAATCGCCCATCCTTGTAAAGAATGTATTTTCTGTCTAAAAAATTCGCCGATATTTCCATTTGGCACCTTAACTATACTACGATGTTGACAATAGACAACCAGATTCTGGTTATTCTGTCGAGGAACTTAATTTTTGGCTGTCAAGACTTGTTGTTGAAAGACGACGCAAAGATGGCAAGGCGTACCCCCCCCTAAAACACTTTACATGCTGTGTACTGGACTTTTAGGACATTTGCTAGAAAATGGTGTGAATTTGAATTTTCTAGATGAAAATAATTCCCAATTTTACGAATTTCGGAAGATTCTTAGCGCGCGAATGGCAGAACTTACCGCACAAGGAGTGGGGATGTCTACTAAGCAGGCCGGCTCGGCCTACTTAGTAGACATCCCCACTCCTTGTGCAGAAAATGTTCTTTGGGAAAAGGGTCTTTTCGGCAACAGTACAGGAGAATCTATGCTAAATACTGTTGTTTACTACAATTGCAAATTTTTTTGGTCTGAGAGCTGTTGACAAACACAAAACATTATCAAAAGACCAGTTTCAGTTGGGTCAAGACCAAAAGGGCAAGTTTATAAATTTCACAGGAAGGGCAAATAAGACATACAAGGGTAAAATGATTTACTCATTTAAGCACAATACAAATTGTTAATCGGGTTGGAAAATGCATGGGGCGCAAAATGCTGAAAAAAATTTAATTCCTAAATCTATCTGTTAATTTACTTTTGACCTTTTATAAAATGTATATTAATAATTACAAATACATTATTGCGAACAAAACTATTGATAAAAATGAATTGTGAAATGTTTATAAGAAAAATTACAATTTGAATGTACAGTGTCATTTTTTTAAGGTGGGTTGTATCAAAGACATGTGAGCGCGAAATCAATAAGAATTCACTTCTTGGGCAAAAAAGTATACAATAGCTACGAGGAATACTTCAATCTAGTTGTGGTTAATTTAGAAAATAACCGATTTGACCGGCGACCATTGGCAAACGGAGAAAACAGCAAAGTCCGTTTCAGTGTATAACCAATTGGAGTCAACAAATTATCTAGAATTATGAAGAATATGTGTGATAAAGCCGGAATTCCCGGATTCTTTTCAAATCATTCTGGTAAGCGCACTTGCGCAACCGCTCTCTACCAAGCTGGGGTACCGGAACAGGAAATCATGGAACATACAGGCCACAGTCCGTAAATACAAGCGTCCAAGTGAGGAGATAAGTGATATTTCCTACGCACTGGAACCAGATGAACCGGTCAGCAAAAAGGCAAAAACCTTGGACGATATTGAAATTCCAAAGCATGGCGATTGCGAGTGAAGAAACACATTTAACAATTGTCAAGTATATTTCAACCTTTGAAAAGGGTGTTCATTGTAAGAGTGGAGATGAAGTTTTAATTGTTCATTTCATTTTATACAGTGTTTGGATAATTTCTTCCCCGGTAGAAGAGGCGGACTACAAATGTATGTGAATTCTTTGTTAATTAATTTTGAGGACAATGTACCTTTGCAATGAATATTAAAGTTAGAAATTTATGCAAATGATTTACGTCATGATTTTATTATAGCAGTTTTGCCACGCCATTGGGTATCAATGGTTATGTACAGATACCCACAGTTAAGATCAAAAGAAAATTGCCGCTGTTATGGTACAACACGCTTTGTACACGATTCTCGCACGCTTTGGCTTCGATCTGGATTTTCAATTCGGAATCTCTCGGACTTTATTCAAATCAACACGGTTTATTCAAAGATTAGTTAAGAATCACAATCATTCACATTAAGTTAAAATAAGTATTATATAAACTGATAAAATAATCAATTTTCAATTTTAATTAATTAATACTTATAGTTGTCATTGCGTATATGACCCGCCAGGTGAAATGCCTATCATCGTCTATACATGTACAAGCATTTTCCGCTAGACTCACTGAAAAAAATGTCATGTCTCTTAAAGCATTCGTTGCTTTTACAATTATAATTTGATACTGAAAAGTCATGCTATTACTGACAAATAAACTCAGATATTGATTCGAAAAAATAATAATTAAATTGCGTTTGATTTCTGCACAAGGATTGATTTTCTTTTCTTTGGTTAAATATTGATTGATTTATTTATTTTGTGATTGAGTAAATAGTAAAAAAAAAAATGTCATTCGAATAATTCAGGTTTTGTTTATAATATGCATAGGTAATATGTACACTGCATCAAACAGAAACATTGGGCAGGAAAAGGGGGTTGGGGGTTGGGTGGCGGTTAGATTACCGAGATCTTACTGTTGTATCTACAAATCTGTACATGGCTAAATATAATGGGCACTTGTTCCAGTAAAAATTTCATTAGGAAAAATTTAATCAAGAAACAAGTGCCCGTGCTAAAGAAAAAAAGGATATCCATATCTCTAGCGGGACCATATAGTTCATTAAATGCAGTTTAATCAGAATGGTTACTATAAGGTTTCATATGAATACATTGAAATTTTATATGGTAGAGAACAAGGGGATGAGGGATAATATTGTAGTTCTCTTTTGAGGCATTGTGTTTCTATACCAAGCACATTGTAAAATCCATAATTCAAACTCCGGCTAGAAAATATTAACCACTAGTCGCGGCACTTAACAATACATTCAATATGCATGGATACATGTCCAATGTCCTAAAAACTGTGAAAATTATGATCTAGAACTGCGTGATTAATGAAACAACTAATATATAATTATTCAGGATTTATTTCCTTTATATTTTTTTTTTCATTCAAGAATAGACTGGCAAATCAACTGTTTACAGAAAATGGGATAAATTTAAGAAATAAAATTCACGGGTATTTACATGTATTTGTACGAAATAAATACTTATAAAACCATTTAATTTCACGAATTAAAATTCAATCGTTATTCTCGGGTGTAGTTTCAGTCATATTGACAAGAGATAATAGCAGAACAAGTTTTAAGTTCCCGGCACTCGAAGCCCATGATCACAGTTCTAAATGACCTTGATCACAGTCGTAAGAAGGGTGTTGAAAGAAGATTCCAATATATTTTTAAAGGATGTATACGGCGCATCCCGAAAAAAGCAATATTTGTTTTAAAAAGAAAAGTATCGATTATACACACTTGTTAACAACAAAAACTCAAAGTTTGTGTTTTCATTTGACTCCCTCCTCCCCGGAAATATTTAACCCTGTGTTTGCTGATGAATGTGAATTATAATTCATTTATTTGACAATTATTAATCAATCAATTTTTTGCCTAAAAAGACTATGAATGACTCATCGTTTCAAAATTATTCGTATTACAGTCTTGTTATATAAGAAAATTATGTTCGTTTATAAATAAACGGAAAAAAAAATGTGCTCCCCAGCCTAAAATTCCCATTTATTCATTCATACATTCAGTAAAATGGTGAAGAGATTCAAATAAATTAATGAAAAGGACAAGACCGGGTCTCTGATGTATTTTCTTTGATAAAAATTAGTATTGCTCTCTTAAAAAAAGTATTGAATGAAATACCCCTGAAATTGATGTACATATAATTACATGTAATTACATTGCGCACGTTTTCTGTCCATCTTTATATAAATAAAAAAGAAATAAAATCAAACAAATATGTAATACATTACCGCGTAATTCTATTTTGTTGTCTCCGTATTTCTTTTTTTTTTTCACACTTAAAATACCACCAGTATGATATATCCGAATAATATTACTTACAAACAACACAGAGTGAAATCTTGATCCATCAATAGCCATATTTAAAATAAATGACTTCATCTAACTTCATATGTGTAGGTTTCCATAAAATATTTACTGTACAAATAAAACCCCAGCACATTATATATACGATAGGATACGATTAATTGATTTATGTAACAAAAAGTTCGCAATAACTTTGTTTATTACTTGTGCCGATGCCATTTTTGTGCAGCATTTAGAAATATTATAAGTGACCGTCACGTGATCACCAGGATCATGTGACATCACACAAATGCGTTATTCTGATACCTTAAAAACCTCTCCTAGTAAGTGGGCTGTACATATATACATAGATAACAAATTGATATCAAACCAGCTTAAAATAGAACAAAATATTTGTAACGTATTTAAGCCTTCGGACACCCTTTACAAAGCTGCGATAAGGAAATTTGTAGTTAACTACTCTCACGTTTGCATAATTCATAATTAATTAATTAATCATAATAAATCATATGCATAATTCAAATGATTTTCAAATCAATTGACCAAACAATATCTGATATAGACCTTGATATACTATTATATTTCAACTTATATATGATATTCAGGAAATAATAATTACTATGTACCTTTCAAAAGCGCTGATAAACGAGAGTTTTTCTTGTTCCTGTGTTTTGATTGACACAATCCTTTGTTATTTTCTTACAGGTTGTCCCTTTGGTAGACACGGAAAGAATTGTGTTGAAGTCTGTAATCCAAACTGTAAAGGAGGCTGTAACAGATTTACTGGTGTCTGTGAGTACGGTTGTTATCCTGGATGGAAGGGCACCTTCTGTGAGATTGGTATGGTTTAGTTTTTAATTATCTTATGTATTTTTAATCTTGGAAAAATAAGAACATAGGCTTCTATTATCCAATATGAGGTAGAACCCATGTCAGAAAAATGTTTGTCACAGTATTTTCAATCTATTTAAAATGAGTAAATAGCTTATTAATCAATCGAAAGTATGCGGTATTTTTCCTAAATTGGTACTAAAGGTGATGCAGCCGATGCAATTTTGAAAGATAATTATACACTGCCGTATAACTTTTCACCCATTTAAAGGGTATGTGGTCATAAGCAGAATATAGAAAATCACAAAAATCTTCGTTTATAGAATTTATCAACAATAATAAGAATATTTATTATTGAAAATTAAATTCTTTTACTTCAGTTGACATAAAGGATTAATTCTACAAATATAGGCAAATACGCTGAATATTTTTTAAAACAGATTTTAGTCAACCCACAACCCTTAATTTGTAAATATTTACCAAAGGTCTTTGTGATAGTGTTTTCAACCCTTAATATCATGAAATGCATACCCGAATGATTATCCAAAGTGATCAAAATTTATACCTTTCCCCGCAAACTAATGAGAGAGATGTTTTCCTATCAATACTACTTCTGCTGACCTTTCTGCACTCACACAAGATTTAATGATTAAATTAATGTTTCGATGTAACTGTTAGATTTACATTGTGAATATTTATCAAAAATGTAAATTTTTATATATATATAAAAAATAAATAATGATATTTTGGCGGAATACATGTATCATAATTATACACGGATCATTAGAATTCATATGAATAATTAGCAAATAATTATGAAAATCAATACACATCATTTCATAATAGATATTACAAACATTAAACACAATTTTTAATAGATCTATGACTAAGACGACATATCGTCAAGACATTGTACTATTTAGTAGTCAACTGAAGATTTCTTAGCAATGTTGCATTCCTTCAAAAAGTCGCATGTCATTCACTTTATCAGAGTTGTGTATTTTCATTAGCTGAGGCAGTCGATCTTGGGTTTTCACTTAACTATGACGTCATAAGATGTAGGTTATATATAAGTGAATAAGGTTTTATTCTCTTTGATAACATCATATGGAATTGAGTAATTGAGCCTAGAACACACACACACACACATACCCTCACACACACACACATTTACTGATTGTATTATATTTCTTCTTCGTTTTAAGTAGTAGTGTTTTGATACTTGTTTGTTGAAAAATTGTACAACTTTTGAACATATTCAAATAAGTTTTTTATTTTATACCGCCTTTTTTCATGTTGTCTTCCTATAGATCTTTATGTATGTTCTTTGACCATGGCATCCATTTTGCTTTTAACAAAAAAAAAAAAAAAAAAAAAAAAAAAAAAAAAAAAACACTAGAGAACGAGATGAATAAAACATGATGTTGTAGAATGTGATGGTCGGGCGTTCGGACAAGACTGTGGTCAGTCATGTGGTTCGTGTTTGAATTTAGAACAATGTCACCACATTAATGGGACGTGTTTCTTTGGATGTGATAGAGGATATCAGGGAGAAAAATGTATTGAAGGTATTTTTTATCTAAATGTATCTTAAACCAGAGGACGCATTTATTGCTCTTAAGTCAAAATTGGGTTGCTTAGTTCAAGTCTATATATTATAAGCCATGCGCTTCCAAATGCTTTTAAAAGCATTCACACATTAAACTAAAGTATCCAAACATATCGAGAATTTAAATTATAGGATTTTACAAGTTCGTTGTAAATTTTTACTAGATCCCATTGACATTGTAATTAGTTTTTTCTTTTCTTTAGAAGTTAAAATAATTACAAAATCATTTAAATCCCATAACAATATCATTTTCATCCTATGTACAGACCAATCATTTACATGTCTTACTTGCTTCCTAGAATGTCCCGATGGACGTTATGGATACAACTGCCTAGAGATGTGTAACATAAACTGTGGAGATCCCATAAGATGCGACAGAAAAACAGGGCAATGTCAAAATGGATGTCAGACAGGGTGGAAAGACACGAAATGTGAAAAAGGTAAAGAAATGTTTTGTTATTATGTACATTAATCAATGTTGGATAGTTATGTTTGGAAAAAAAAAACATCCTAATCAAATTTTCATTTCTATAAAATGTAAAGGGAATGGAATGTCATAAAACATTATCAACACTGCATATACCGTTCACGGTAGCTCAGCCGGTAGAGCGCTCGCTCCGTGATCGGGAGGTCGTGAGTTCGAATCTCGGCCGCGACTGACCTAAGTCGATAAAAAATGGGTAGGAACTGTTCCTTCGCCATGCGCTCGGCACTTTGAAGTGAAAGTTGCGGGTCCTTCGAATGAGACCTTAAAAACCGAGGCCCCGTGTCACGGCAGGCGTTGGCACGATAAAGATCCCTCACTGCTCAATGGCTCTGAGTGCCGAGTAAAGGTCAAAATTTGAAGCCCTTCACCGGTCTATGGTGACGTCTCTATATGAGTGAAAAATTCTCAAATGGGACATAAAACAACATACAATCAATCAATCAATCAACACTGCATAGAATAGTATACATTGCTAGAATAAATATAAGATGCAAATAGGAACAACAAAAACCATTAAATGCCAGAATCAAGGTGAAAATTCCAAATGAAAAGGAGCTTGAATTTCCAGGTAAGAGACAATCAGATATTATACAAGGTTTTTTTAGAAGTGACCCAAAAAGGAAATCACACTTTTAAAATTTCTCTTTTTTAGAATGTGATTTGGGCAAATTCGGACTTAACTGTGCACAGTCATGTGGTGTTTGCTATGAGAAAGAACAATGTCATCATATAAACGGGACATGCTTAAATGGCTGCGATAAAGGTTACCAAGGAATCAACTGTACACAAGGTGACAAATCAATTCTCCAAAAGTTATTATTATATATATATATATATATATATATATATATATATATATATATATATATATATATATATATATATATATATATATATATATATATATATATATAATTTGAAGAATTATACACAGATAATAATAATTCTTGTTGAAATGTCGGGATATATATATTGCAAGTTACATGTCTTTGTTTAGAAAAAAGTCTTATTATTTCTTTTTTCTTGTATTTTCATTTTCTTATATTATTATAATTAAATATGTTTTTATTATGTTAGGCATGATATGATTATAAGTATAACAGAAATGAAACAACTTGTTTTTAAAACTGATCATATCTTCATCTATTCTTATTTACGAAATATTGTATTGAACGTATGAAATACTAAATTTCATAGTCTTACATTTTTCTTAAAAAAAATTGAATTACGTAATGAGCCTTAATCTTTTTAGCATGCGCCTGGGGTTTTCATGGTTACGGTTGTAATGAAACATGCAGTACAGAGTGTTTTAATGGTACATGTAACGCCATTACAGGAACATGTCCACTGGTGAGTAGCATTTATTCAGGTTCAGACTGATAAACACCATTATCTAATTATTTTATTTCTCATTTAGTAATAATTATCTAAATTGTTATAAAGAAACAATATGTACTAGGTACCACATGTATATGTTCATGTTTTTTTTTTTTTTTCCAACCTGATGATTGTTCACATCCCTACTGATTACGGGTGTTATACTGTTCCTTGAAAAGCATATTATTGTGCTCATTATACTATATTTCTTGAAAAGCATATTCCTGTGTTCATTTTTCCAATGCATCACTTACCTCAGTTCCAGCAATCAAGGGTTTTTCTCAAACGAAAAATGTTAATTGACAATAAAGACGCTTCAAATTACTACTGAGAGTATTATACACAATTGAGGGTGTTAATGACTTCCTCAAAAAATTTGACCTCCCCCACCAAAAAAAAATATTCCAAAGAGAAATTCTATAAAATCCTGATATTGTTTGATCACAAAAAGATACGGACTTTAAAATGAGATGTTTTCCGTTTTTACAATACTTACACGTATATATGAAGGATTTTCCTCCTCGAACTTTTTATTAATTTGTGGTCTTTGAAAGTGTAAAAAAAAAAAATTAAAAAAAAACAATATGGAGCAATATCTTTTTCTTCTAAAAATCCTCCTTAGTAAAAGAAAGAGAGAAATTGCAACTGATTCATGAATGAGGTATCATGTTTCACAGCGAAATTATGAATGACTCAGCTAGATCCATATTTTTCTAAGCTTCTTATTCTGTACAGTTTTAATTTATGGTGCAGATTGCTGCTGCTACAGATCCACCAGAGGCTAATACTGGTCCTGTCATAGGAGGAGTCGTGGCTGCTATCATTGTTATTCTGGCTGTTGTAGTATTTCTAATTGTGTTCAGAAGGTAAATTTGATAAAAGTACTAAGATCTTTGCTTACATGCTTCTTTTGTTTGAAGGGCCGCACTATTGTATTCAAAATTTTAGTCTACAAATCTAAATTTTCATAAATACACCATTTCATTACTGGATCTCTATTTAAATAAAACAAAAAAATGCAAAGACAAATATTGGCATCCTTATGTATTAATGTACTAGTTCTGAATTATAAAGTACGCCCCTAAGAAATTGTTTATGATTACTTTTAAGTGATAAGGTATCATTTTTAACATTTATCTGGATGTAAAAATGGGATGGTCACGTAATCAAATCAAATGAAGCCAAGGCCTTTTTGGTAGCATGGTTAACGTACCAACCCGTATTCACATCCCGATAAATGTTTAAAAATAAGAACTTTTCATTTACATTTAAATTTGTGACATATTTGTAGCAAGTATTTTTCGTGCTATTGTTTTAACCCCATAAAATGTTTTTTTTCCCTTTTTTTTCAAATCTCAACAGGATAAATTGAGTGTGTTGAACATGTCGACCACTAAAGGCATCACTGTGAAACGTCGATCGTTAATGATTTAATGAATTTATGATCATGTGACGAACCTGTTTATAAACAGACTTAAATCTGCCTTCTTCAAATAGTATTATATAAGGGAAAACGTTTGCGAATGTAAATAATTGATTTGTAAATGTAAATATTTAATGCATCGGTCTGCATTTTGTTTAATATGGAAATCAGCTCATTTTTATTTTATGTAATTTGTTTTTAATTTATTTATTTTGGAGCAGTAGAAATGGGTCATGCAAAAGGCAAGAGAAAAGTACAAAACAGTTATCTACAGAACACACGATACCTAACATGGAAATATATGACAAAATTGGTGAAAGTGGAGGATATCAGGAACTGGGACCCAGAACAAATATGTCTTACAAAATTGACGACAATGGAGGATATCAGGAACTGGGACCGAACTCAGATGTATATGACAAAATTGACGATAATGGAGGATATCAAGAACTTGGTCAGTTGCAAACTTCTCAATATGACCAGTTACGTTAGCGGGAAGTTGTTTAATTCACTTTATTCATTATCAGGAATTGAGTGTATTTATTACGATTCAGACATTTTGATACAATCAATTTCAGAAATATACTGTATACCTCAAAGTATTCTGAAGATTAACACCTAATGTTTTAGAACTTACTTCTTTGTTGTTTTTCCACTTATATCAATACACATTGCCTTATCTACACCGTTTATCTACATATTTAAACAAATTTTTATTAAAAATATAAGTACTTGTAACTAGGGTATACATGTTTATACACAAAAGCTTTTTAGCTCACCTGAGCCGAAGGCTAAAGTAAGCTTTTCTGATCAAGGAATGTTCAGCGTCCGTCTGTCGTCTGTAGTCCGTAAACTTTTCGTATTTTCGACTTCTTCTCAAGAACCACTGGGCCAATTTCATCCAAACGTGCCACAAAGCATCCTTGGTTAAAGGGAATTTCAGTTCACAGGAGGTGCCGCGCCCCCTTTCAAGGGGAGATAATTAAGAATTCGTGAAAATTTGGTGCATCTTTTAAAACTTTTTTTCCCAAGAACCACTGGTTAAGAAAAGATGAAACTTATGTGAAAGCTTTATTACATACTGTAGATTCTAGTTTGTTCATACCATGATCCCCGGGGTAGAGCAGGGCCGCAAGAGGGAATCGAAGTTTAACATAGGAATATATAGGAAATGTCTTTAAAAATCTTTTTCTTCAAAACAACAAAACCATGATAAGTCATATTGTAATAGAAGTATCATCAGGTAGTGTAGATTCAAGTTTGTTCCAATCATGACCCCTAGGGTAGGGCAGGGCCACAACAAGTGGTTAAGTTTTACATAGTTTTATATATGTGTTAAGGGGCATTTGAGTAAAACGCATTGAAGACCTCAAATAATGAATTGACCTGACAGCCCTTGGAATGGACTAGCCAAACTAAAGGTTATATAAGGCAAAGCTTTGGGAAAGCCAGGCATTCAGAAGGTAGCTGAAGAAGTTGGATGCTGAATCAGCAATAAAGAAGTTAAGGTATTCCATCCCTAATAGCAACAGATTCAATGAAAATGAAAACATTACAGATGTGTTAATTTTAATACTCAGTATATTTAGACATAATTCCCATTTATTATTATTAACATGTAAGGTTGGGATGTGTCCTAATTAATGACCTTGAATTTTGGTAAGGGTTATCTCCCTCTGTTTTTAATTAATAAAAAACAATTTTAGAAAACTGATCTGGTAAAAAAAAAAAAAGTCGTTTTCAATTGTCATTCTATTTCTAATGTTTTGCTAATTCAATATTTTTTCTACTGTGAAATGCTTGTACATAGGAAATATTTTTAAAATCTTCTTCTCAAGAACAACTAAGCCTTTATAAATCATATTTATACAGAAGCATCCTTAGGTATAGTAGAATCAAGTTTGTTCAAATCATGGAGGTACAACAGAGGGTCAATTAAGTTCTGCATAAAAAAAAAAATAGGAATCATCTTGAAAAAACTGCTCAAGAACAGCAAAGCCATAATTAGTCATATGATGATAGAAGCATCCTCAGGTAGTGTAGATTCAAATTTGTTCCAATTTAGGGTGTGTATGGTGGGGCCACAATGAGAGATCAGAGTTTTAGATAGGAAAATATACGATTGATTGATTGTATATTGTTTTACCTCCTGTTCGAGAATTTTTTACTCATATAGAGACTTCACCATATACCGGTGAAGGGCTTCAAATTTAGACCTTTACTTGGCACTCAGGGCCATTGAGCAGTGAGGGATCTTTATCGTCCCTACGCCTGCCATGACATGGGGCCTCGGTTATGTAGGTCTCATCCGAAGGACCCGCAACTTTCACTTCAAAGTTTCGAGCGCTTGGCAAAGGAACAGTTTCTTCCTATTTTTATCGACTTAGGTCAGTCGTGGCCGGGGCTCGAACCCACAACCTTCTGCTCACGGAGTAAGAGCTCTACACAATGAGCTACCGTGTCGGTAGAAAACATAGGGAAACAAATCTCTCAAAATCCTTCTTTTTAAGAACAGCAGAGTCATGACTAGTAATATTTATATGGAAGCATCCTGAGGTAGTGTAAATTAAAGTTTGTCCACCCTCCCCCGCTCAATACTGAAATGATTTCTGCTTCTTTCTAGCCAATGAGCTCAGGTGAGCGATGTGGCCCATGGGCCTCTTGTTTTTAGGTTTTTTCTATGTTTCTTTGTTAACTTTAGAGTGATATTGATCATATTTTGTTCCATTCAAATTTTCGTTAAATTAAACAAAATAAATAATGTGTTTTAGGTATTGTATTTTAGTAAGTAGCGTTAAGTGTTCAAGAATTTGGAGAAGAATAAAAACATGACTGGAAGCTTTAGGAATTGTCTTTGCTCGAGAAACTGGACCTTTGTTAGCAAAAAAACCTTAAATGATCATTTCTATTTTGTCAAGACATAAATACGCTACATACAGACAACACGGCATATACTTTCGATGTGTAAGACACATTCAATGAGTGTTAAA